CACTGACTGCTCTTCCAGAGGTCCTGAGTTCAATTCCCAGCAACCACATGGTGGCTCACAACACCTGTAATGGGATCTGATGCCATCTTCTGGTGTGTCTGAAGACAGCTACAGTGTACTCATATAAATGAAATAAATAATTCTTTAAAAAAAAAAAAAAAAAAAAAAAAGAAAACTGATGGCCCATATGACTTGTCTTAATATGCAAATTAAAAATAACTGTGTCTCCATCAGTATATGGAGACAAATGGAAGAAAATACATAGGCCAGTGTTATAAACACAGCACACCTATCTACCTAGATACCTAGATGACATGGCGGTATGTTGTCACTGTAACAGGACAGGCATGGGTGGCATTAGTAATTCAGTATGGCTGGAGGTACTGTTCAGTGGCAACTGACTCTCAGTACAGTTACAACACGGCAGGTACCAGATGTGGTGATGTAAACCTATAATCTCAGCACTTGGGAAGTAGAGGCAGGAAGGATCAAGGGTTCAGTGTTACCAGGCATGGTGCTGTATGTCTTAATCCCAGTACTTTATACTGGCAGAGACAGGCAGATCTCTGTGGGTTCCAGGCCAGCTAAGGCTATATAGAAAGACCCTGTTTCCAAGGCCAGGATGTGAACAGCTATGGTGGTATACCCCTTTAATCCTAGCACTCAGGAAGCAGAGGCAAGTGGATCTCTGTGAGTTTGAAGCCAGCCTGGCCTACATAGAGAGTTCCAGGAAAGCCAGAGCTGCATAATAGAAAGACCCTATCTCAAGAAGAAAAAAAAAAAAAAGGAAAAAGAAAAACACAAAACAAGCTCCCAATGAGTTAGTCTTGAGAACTTCTGTGTGTTTATGTATTTCTGTGTATGTAAAGACTGCTCAAAGGATGCATAGAGTTGATCCATGGCAGACTGCTCAACATTCCTGTCTTTAGTCCCTAAAACATAGTACCTCACCCCCTTACCTCATCATGTCTCCTGGAGAATGGCCCATAAGTACCCAGTGTGTTCCTGAGGGTATCGCTGTCCACTAAGACATTTTGCTAGACTAGAGTTTCTTGAGGCAGGAAGCCAAGCCAGGCTCAGGGCTTGCTCGTGGTACAGATTTGGCAATAGCCGCTGGAGAGTTCTACACTGAATGATGACATGGTTTCATTTACAACAGTTGAGCTTTAGCACTGTGGAAAGGTGTGGAGTTGCATAGAGCCCAAAGGAGAATATCAAGACAGACGAGACTAAGTCAGGGGAACTTTCTTGGTAGTGGGAACAGCAGGGTGTGAAGGGGCTGAAGCCAGTCTGATGTGAACAGCCATACAGTTATAGGCACTAAGATAAAACCATTGGCAAAGCCATAGGTGAAAAAAGCTAAGCTTGGCATATGAATGTTTATGCCTGGTACTAGGAAGAGCTCAGTGTGGATCATGTCATTTGTGCCAGGGAAGCTCTACAAGGACATATATGACCTAATAATTTCACAACACAGTTCAGAGGCCATGTATGCTGAACCTTTATCTTCTGAGGTTCCCATCTCGAGCTTTAGGGGCCCACCCATCTAAGTCTGTTGTGCTTGGAGCTGTAAGCAGCACCTGCATCTTTGTGGCCTGGCCTCACCTGCAGAAGTGGCCAGGACCCCAGGCAAGCCACTTAGAAGCTCGGTCTCTGAGAAATCCACATGGCAGCAGCTCTGCCACATGCAGCAGCAGGCTTGATGCCAGGCACGCAGCAGCCTTCCACAGCAGCAGCCTACAGGGTCCTCCTACAGCCATATGTTACTGTTATTCATTTTATGGTTGAGAAGTTTGAGTGCTTTTGCCTGTAGCCACATAGCTGGTAAGTGACAGAATCTGGAATTGCATGGAGGGCAATGACACTGTAGCCTGTGCTTCAACTTCTATGCCACTGTGCCGCAAAGTGAACATTTGTTTGCTTTCCATTTTTGAACTAGAGTCTCACTGTGAAGTCCCATGCTGGCATTGGTCTTGTGGCAGTTCTTCCGCCTCACTTTCCAAAGGGCTAGGATTGTAGGCATGAGTGACCGTACCTGGCTATATACATTATAAGGTCACAAGTCAGTCAGCAGGACCAGAGTACAATGTGCTATAATATAAACCACAGTTACCTGCTGTACAGATTGTTGACACCAATCACCAAGTCAAAACATACTCATTAAAATCCTAACAACAGCCATACTTGGGATGTAGAGGCAGGAAGATCAAGAGTTCAAGGCCAGCCTTGGCTATATGAAATCAAAACAAGCAAACAAACAACAACTCAGTGGAGCCAGTGACATCACTCAGAGGGTAAAAGAGCTTGCCACCACACTTCATGACTTCAGTTCAGTCACTGGGCCCACATGGTAGAAGGAAATAACAACTCCCACAAGTTGTTGTCTGACCTCTACATGTACATCATGGCATCTGTAATATATACACATATGAAATAAATAGAACTAAAACCATTTTTTAAAAAGTTGATCAATAGGATATAGTGGTACCCATTTCTATTCCCAGCATTAAAAGGCAGAAGGATCTCAAAACAAGAACTACTGATGCCACAGGGAGGAATCCTGCTGCCTGGTATTCACTGGATACTCAGCAAGGATTGAGAAGCCATGAGCTGGCCTTCCATGTGTGTATAGGTGTTAACTGATGACATCACTGCTAGTTTGGTGAAGATAATGTTCCTGGTCACACTTAGTGCTGGTGATGAGAGCTTCAGTGACTGAGCTGGACGTAATCAGGCAGGCTCCTGGAGGGAGAGGATCCCACTCCTTAGTCACTGACGAAGCAGGAGCAAGTCATCTGTATTTCCTTCACAACACTATTACTACTGGGGTTCTTTCATACAGGACTCCTCTTTGGTAGGTATGCTCCCTATACAGAACATGGGGTACCCTGTATGTGAGAACTCCAGGTTGGTCTGGCATGGGTTAGCAGCTAGTGACAGTTAGTGAACTTCAGCCAGTTAGTGAAATTTAGTTCAAAACACTGAGACTTTCTCAGGACCCTGAGTCTACAATGACCCTCAGAGTGCAGGATCAGATGTGACATGGTAGTTGGGAGAGGACCAGTTCTGTAAACGTAAGAGGCCCGTTGAGAGAGAATCATGAACCTGGTGTGAAGGAGCCATGCCTAGGACTAGGCTTAGCAGAGTGCTCTTACACGCCAAGCCTTGGTAATCAGCCTGCCAGGTGTGGGGACACAGAAGAGCTTTCCAACAGTGGAAATAGCAGGGGAGACATCTTGAGGTAAGGACAAGATAATCATGGAGGAGGCTCCAGGCTCTGAACCCCAGTACACGGTGGGGAAGGGTTTTCCAAGGCTTCACAGTCATGTTTGCATGATCCCAACTGCTGTAAAAAGGGGGAAAGAGAAATCTAGGCAGCCAACTGAGTGAAGTTCTGTTACCTTGAGAGGTTGAAGCCTTGAGGGAAGATGTCGGGCTGTGTATAGCATGAGGGACAGGTACACTGCGGGACTTGTGGAAGCTGTCTGGTAAAGCTGTAGCCTTTTAATGTCAGGGGGCCAGTAAGCCCATTGGGAGACAAAGGGCCCGAGAAGTACCTGTGTAATCCAAAGGGTGACACTTACAGTTGTTCTTTACAGGCAGGGTTGATTCCTGCCATTTATTTAGTAAACACCCTGTGCACAGCAGCACCACACTAGACTCTAAGCTGCAGATGTAGATGGAATATCAAAACACTTTCCTTAATGGTCTCTGTGCAAGCAGTAAGAGGAGAGATATACGAGCTTACGGGGACGAGCTTCCTGATGGAGGAATTCTGCTCCTCAGCCTGTTAAGAGGGCAACCAGGACACTGGCAGGTGAGAACTTACTTCATACTGTCCGTACTATCAGGTCAGGCCCGTTTCTTCAGTGGAAGATTAGCCATATCTCCTGCAAGGAAGGACAGGCTGTGGCCAGGATCCAGAATGCTATTAGGTCTCAGCTCTGACCTTGGCTTGTTATGGTGCTGGCAGGGCTCACCTGTCTTCCTCAGTGTTGCCTTCTTTGACCTCTGAAGATGTCCTTTTGGTCCTAAGCTACTCTGATATACAGCTATATCATGATGCTGGCCCTGGGTGGGCTACAATATTAGCTTTCTTTTTGTTTGTTTGTTTTTGGTTTTTTGTTTTGTTTTTTTCGAGACAGAGTTTCTCTGTGTAGTCCTGGCTGTCCTGGAACTCACTCTGTAGACCAGGCTGGCCTCGAACTCAGAAATCCGCCTGCCTCTGCCTCCCAAGTGCTGGGATTAAAGGCATGCGGCACCACCGCCCGGCCAATATTAGCTTTCTTAACAAGATTATTTATCACGCCTTAGTGGTAGAAGCAGGTTAATCAGGAGGCCCTTTAGGAAAGAATGAGTCCCAGGGTAGCTACGACTCTGGGGTGGGAAAGAGGCACACAGTTCTTCTCACCCTCTTCCTACAGGTTTGGCTCCCTGCCATGAAGGCCAAGGGACTGGAGATCTCTGGCACCTTCACCCGGCAGGTTGGCTCCATCTCTATGGACCTGCAGCTGACTAACAAGGCCCTGCAGGTCATGACAGATTTCGCTATCCAGTTCAATCGTAACAGGTGAGTCCCTGGCCAAACTCAACAACAGTGTCTTGACCACTGTGTGGACTTCAAAGCACCAGGGCATCCCCGCTAACTTGCTCTCCACTGCTCAAAGGATAGTTTTGTGTCAGAAATCACTGTTCTAAGCCAGCCACCCACCACTGGAAGTGCCTCACATCTCCCTTCTGCCTCTCCTCCCAGGCCTGAGTTACTTTTCTGTAGGGGAACAACTCTGAAAAAGTGGGTTGGATAGTAGGCCTGCCACACAGCCTCCCCTGAGAGCAAAACAGGGCTCAACGCAAGTTTTCTTACCAGACAAGGACTCACTCTGAGAATGGGTAGTGACTGCTCCAAGCTCCTTGATGCCCCCAGCCCCCATGTCTCCTGTACTGCACATTGGTGAGGAAACATGCTTGCACCATGAGCCAGCCAGGCCAGGCTCTCTGGGAATCGTGGTAGCCCCTCTTCCTGGGTGGCTCCAATGATGAGCAAACTGAGCCTCTGAGAAGTCGTCTGAAGAGGCAGCTTCCTCGGGAGAGCCTTAGGCAGACTGGGGAGGCTGAGGCAGCTCTGCCTCTTCCATTCACAGGACACTAGAGGCCATAGGTGCGTGACTGTTTATAACAGACCCTCTGTGCATTAAACCTTCCTAAGGCCAGGGACTATAGAGTATTCGTCTCCATAGAGCCGCCTGACAGTCCAGGAGAGCAGATGTTATTTACTCCTTGTCATTCAAAGGCCCTCCCTGCCCAAGGTCACAGAGTGGACAATGACAGTAGGCCTGGGCTTCCCTCTGGATTCCAAGCAACTCTAAATAAGAGCATAGTTTCAGTTCTCAGCAGCCATTCACCCTGTAATGGCTGGGAGCTGAGTATAAGCTTGTTCCTCAGCGAAGGTTTGTGTTCTCATCAGGAAGAAGGAGTTGTGTATATTTCTGATTTTTACCAGTATAGAAATTGTCATATTGCCATATGCTACCCTTGACATACTGGGTGCTCAGTTCATGTTCCCTCCACACCACTGTGACAGCTTGCGGTTGTATGGCATGGCCAGTTGAAGTTCAGACAATGAAATCTGGTCTTACTAGGGGTGGTTGTCGCCCTCTTGAGTTATGGGTCTTAGCAGTAAATATCTAGGCTGGCAATTTTCCATTGAGAAACTTGTAGTCCAGGCCCCTGGTGTGTTGGGTGGAGGTCCTGAGGGAAGGGGCAGGGCCGTACTATCATGGCCTACTACGAACCAGCCCAGAAGAGAAAAGAAGCAGAGAAGTCTTGCTAGGCCCAGGTTCTTGTGTCCTATCTACGTGGTCAGTAGAGCAGGGGTGGTCAGGAGCTTGTCGAAGGCTTTCTTGATGAAGCTCTGTGTCCATCACTCCTCCCCACGCTTCCTACAACCCTGCGGGGCTTCTCTCTCTTTTCAGCTTTGGCTTGGCCCCTGCCGCACCACTCCAAGTGCATGCACCACTCAGCCCCAACCAGACTGTGGAGATCTCCCTGCCTCTTAACACAGTGGGCTCGGTCATGAAGATGGAGCCTCTAAACAATCTTCAGGTGTGACCTCACAGGACCAGACACCCCGTTTCTACCCAGTCTCAGCCATGGGGTGGATGCTAACTAGCCATATGTGTGAAAGCCTGAAAGAGAATTGTGGTCTTGGCTGCAGGTGGAACCTAGGCTAGGGGACAAAGGGCATGGTTACAAGGGAGGGCTTTATGAGAAAACCTGCTCTGGACACCCTACGTGGGCCCTTGGAGGTGGGATAAGCCCAAGAATCAGGGTGTCAGGCCTTGGGGACTGACTGGAGACCCCCATGCCTAGGTGGCTGTGAAGAACAACATTGACGTCTTCTACTTCAGCACGTTGTACCCACTGCATGTCCTCTTTGTGGAGGACGGGAAGATGGGTGAGTGGTGAAGGGCCCTGGGGATTTGCACAATGGGACTGCAGCTAGGAAACCTGGGAGGGCTAATGCCTGTAATAAGGATTAACAGGACAGCTTTCCCTTACGATGGAATCTTCAGCTGATCCTAGGGGGCCCCATCTCTGGCTTGCAGGTGGCCTGTGCGCCTTACTTATGAGCACTGCTGCTCACCCTTTAGCTTGTCTGTGGGCTGCAAAGAAGCAAGTCAGTCACCATATCTGGTAGCTATGTGTGGCACATCACCTTTGCCACAGAGCCATGTGTAGCAACCAGCTGCACAGAGGGAGGAGAAGATGAGGTCATAGCTGGTAAGGCAAAGGAGAGGCAGGAAGCAGACGGCATTCGGGAACAAGCCTGTGTCCTGAGCTGAAGCAGAGGGAACTGAGGAGGAGCAAGTGCCTTCAGTCAGCTTCCAGGTGGCACACTGAAGACCAGACCCATTCCTGCCATGTGATGCTGAGGAGCCACAAGTTATTAGGATCCCACCTCTCATCCCGCCCATTCACCCTGCAGACCGGCAAATGTTCCTGGCTACATGGAAAGACATTCCCAACGAGAACGAAGCACAGTTCCAGATCAGAGACTGCCCCCTTAACCCAGGTGAGCCCTCTTACCCCCAACTCCCAGCCCCCAGTACCCCACTCTCTCTCCCCTGTACCCACTGACTGGGCCTTCTGTGGCTGTCTGGTCCTGCAGAGGCTGCAAGCAACAAGCTGCAAAGCAGTAACATCTTCACTGTTGCCAAGAGGAATGTGGAGGGCCAGGACATGCTCTACCAGTCTCTGAAGTTGACCAATGGCATCTGGGTGCTGGCGGAGCTGCGGATCCAGCCAGGCAACCCCAGCTTCACGGTGAGAACCCCTGTACCCACTGCCAGGTCTTGACCCTCCACCTCCCTGCCCTGATAGCACTTCCCAAGTCAGCCACCCTAGTTTGCGCTCTTAGGAGGCTGATGGGTGTCGCTATGCCAAGGTCTCTTTGAGCCCAGTGTGAGAATTGGTTCTTAAACTTCAACTCAACCCCATCAGGTTACCCAAATAAGACACCAAGGATCATAAGCACTCATCCCCAGAAAGGGAAATAGTGTCACTGCTACAGGAGCTGGTCCTGCTGCCTTATGGGTAACTGTGTGCCTGCCCAGGGGCACAATGATTTCAGCAGGCCATGATTCTAGATCTCTAGTCAGAGCCATCAGAGGACAACTTCTAGGGCAGTCTGGGTATTTTGTAAACTCCACTGCTCTTCCCAGGCCTTGAGTCCAGGCTTTGCTTCCCCGTGTACTCTTGCCTGGTAGGTGTGGCCCTTCCCAATGCTGGTGACCTTGGTGCTGGTGGGTGGGGCTGTGATGGTGGCTGAGCTGGTGGTAATTTCCATCTTCCTGTTTGATTGCTGCATGTTCACCTTCCCTGCTGGTGCCATGGTACAGGACTTGGAGGTTAGCAAATTGCGTCTCCCTTCTTGTGCCCCACCTCCATCCTTTCCAGCAGTATTTCGCATGCCTCATCTCCTAGTCTGGCCCTGGTGCATTCTGCTTGCCCTGTCTCTTGGCCTTGCTTCAGCCTCATGCTCCCAAGGCCCAGCAGATGTGCATGGAGGTTACCAACACCAGGGCTTCCCAACCACTTGCACATATATGGTGTGCAGAGTCCTTAAAGGGAGGCCCATGGACCCCTCTGGGGGCCACTGCTGCTGAATCCAGAATTCTGCTTGCCAGTCGTTCATAGTTGCAGCCTCAGATAGACCTGATGTTCTCAAGTGGAAGGGCTGTTGGCTTCCATCCCTTCTGCTCGGAATCTCAAGGCTCAGACCTCACGCAGCACTGAGACAAATCCACACAAACTTGCTTCCTACTCAGGAACCAGAGCAATCCCCACATACTCAGGAGAGATCTGCTCCCCCTTAACCCTTTGTCCACTAGGACTGTATGTCAGAATTGCTCCTGACCCAGACCTCCAGAGGTTGTAGTGGAACAGACAGCCCAGAGAAGGGGGTGGGCTGGGTACTCCTGACGGCATGAATCATGCCGCCTGCCTATGGCTCCTGCGGCAGAACTGACAGCAGGCGTGGGGGCTGCAAGTATATTTGGTTCCCGCCCGGCTGTGCCGGCCACCCCCTCTGCTTTACCTCACATCTGCCCCACTCTTAGCTTCCAGCCTGCGGTGTATGCATGCAATACACTCCTGCTCACTTCTCCAGCTGCTGCCCGCTCCCTCCCATCCCTTTACTGAAGAGCCCCGGGATAAGTTCTTTCCCTGCCTCCTCTTCTCCTGCAGCTGTCCCTCAAGTGTCGAGCACCGGAGGTGTCCCAGCATGTATACCAGGCCTACGAGACTATCCTCAAGAACTGAAGTCCCTCTCGCATCCACCCCAGCCTTCTGTCAGCCCAGTCATGGAACCCTGTGGGTGGCAGTACCTCCTCCTTTCTTTGGGGAGAGGCCAGGTGGGCTCCTGAACCACCCAGGAGGCTCCCCTGATCCTAACCGAGGGCCTGGAGCAGGGCCGTGTCTCCTCCTAGAGTGAAATCTCAGTGCATCTCCAGTGGCTGCTGTTTTCTATTGCTGTTGATGTGAGATCAAAGGAAACGGAGCCAGCACAGCATTGCTGGACAGGGGCCCCAGGGCGCTCTTCCTTCTCCTCTCCTGGGTATGAAAATGGAAATCCCCCGGGGGTCCTAGCCCACGATCCCTGCCCTGTCTCCTCACTGACCCTGTCCTGGGTAGAGTCCTCTGGGTGCCAACATTACTGCGTGGGACCTCAAGGGCTGGAGGTGGTGATGGGCAGACATGAGCCCAGAGGAGCAACCTGGGCTAGCACCATCCACTCCATAAGACCGCAGTTGGTGCTCTGTGACCACCTGTGTGTCCCCTTGTGCCCCAGGGGATGGTCACTGCCTACAAACATTCCTTGGTGTCCCTCTGTGAGTCCAGGGCTCTTAGAACAGAAATAGGGTGAAAGGTGGAGTGAGGGGCAGTGGAACGCTTCTGGTGTGAGGCTCCTGTGGGTTCTCTAGCATCCGCTGGCTCCCAGTCTGTGTGTGTGACAGCGATGGGTTGTCCTGCCGCTGCTGTTTGATAATAAAGAGACTCTGCTTTTGGCAGTCATGCACATTTCTTTCCCTCTACAAACTGCTTCTGGTAGCTGGGGATAATATCTGACCCTGCAATAAGTATACCTAATACATATAAATGAAAATATATATTGTATATTTACCCTTATTTTCAAAAAGAGAAATCTAATAAAATTGATAACATCAAATGTGTTCCTGGCCAGTGTGTCAGGTTGTAAGGCTCTTCTGGCCAGGAGTCCTGCACTGAAGCCATATACCTGACTGTGGTCCCTTCCCTTCATTCTGCCTACCATGGCCTGCTGGAGTCCCTGCCGCCTTCCTGCTGTTGGTGTCGAGGCCTCCCCAGCTGTGTCTCCATCCATCCAAGGAAGGGTTTGTTGAGTTTCCTTTTTCGTGCCACATTGAAACAGCAGGAATGACTGCTGTGGACAGGAGAGGGCTGGGCAGTGTCGCATGTGTTCTGGGAGACACCCAGGACGAGGACTCACAAGAGACTAAAACAATTCGCCCAAGGAACATGAACTACTTAGAGGAAGTTGTACTAC